AGAATGAAGGCAGGTATTTTTTTCTTTTTTTTCTTCACTTTGCTCCTTGTCGTTCACGTTGAGGCTGAGCCCAACGAACAACTGATGAGAGAGATTGAACGCTTCGCCTGCAACGCCGCCATAGGCACGGCACCCGGTTGTCGTGAAGCTATTGTCGCTGCAATCAGACATGTCTGCAGAAGCAATAGATGCACTACGAATATTTGCTTCGCCATGGATGGGAGTAGACAAATTGGAGTAGCAGATTTTGAGCTCCAACTTCACTTCGTGGCCATCGTTACTCTCTTAGCTGGGATTGATGAGAGCGTCCGTTTCTCTGGTACACAGTATGGACTTCGCAACAGCGCTATTAGAAATAATGGAAGCAATGACACAGATTTCTTGCTTAGCCTTGAGAAAGTAAGGTATATGCGCTCCCGGAGGTCGTTTATTGGTACAGGTGTGAGTTATTGCTTTCAGCAGTTGAACCGACGCAGAGGCGAGCCCGCCAAGATGATTATTCTAGCCGACGGACGCAGCTCTTCCGGTGGTCCTCTCAGTGGCCCGCTGAGCCCGGCTGCCCTCGCTGCAAACTTTCGCTCGCGATCGCCCAATAACACTGTCTGCGCGGTTGCTGTCGGCTTTTCTCCATCTCGTGCCGACTTCTTCGATGATTTCACGGAGGATCCGAAATTAGTTCTCAAGGTGACCGAGTGGCATAGGATTCTGCAAATTACCGTTGATTTGATGCGAATCATATGCCCGGTGGGACGCCAGCCCAGGCCCTAGACGCTCTCCTGCGAATACAGGAAGAAGTGTGTACGTACATGCATTCTGCTTTTCGTTCAATGGCTCTCTTAGGTTGCTTTACACAGGGCCAGACCGGGCGATTGATACATATGTACGCACGACTGATAGGTACGATTGTACGTCAAAGTGAGAATGCAGGGTTGGTCCTTGCCTGGCAGTCGCAAAAAGGAGCTTCTTGTATATGATTGGCACGTGAATGCGCTTGGCACAGGTCAGCAGAAAGCGAGATAGAGAGAGAGAGGAAGCAAGGACTGCTTTGGACATGAATAAAAAGAGAAACAGAGGACGGGTGATGAGGGTATTCGGGCAATGCGGCGTTTCTTTGCGACAGCTCGGTGTTGTTCAGGCTCATACTGTAGCAAATGTAGAAAGATACGGACATGGTCTAGTTTGTTCATGGAGTGGCGTGGTGCGAATTAGAACGGAGTTGGTTGAGAACACTGGACGTCTGGTACTTGGCATGAGCGTTTGCGGGATTACTCTTTGGATGTCACCTACAAGGCTTGTACGTTGACACATGCGTGCAGATTGCTTCATGCCATTGTACTGGCAGGGCGAAGTAGACGGGGCGCTGCTGGTGCCAGCAGCAAATGGCGCATGCGTCAAGGGAACGGCATTACGCAGTGGGGCGTGGGGCGAGCGAGCTCTTGTTGAACGTAGGACGTGGCCCGGCGTTGCTCGGACGAGAGAAACAAGAGGTGAGAGTGGAGAAACTCGCAGGCGAGCGGGCATGGCGTGGACCAGCAGACGAGCGGAAGAGGGAGTTTTTTGTACTCATACATACTCACTGTGCACGGTTCGGAAGGGATGGGATGAGGTCATACTGTACTGGACAGAATGAGGTCAGGGTTGGATCGTACAGTACCAAGGGTACCTCAAGGGTACAGTATCTGAGCTTTTTTTTCGCAAAAAATTACGCATGAAATCGCAAATTCGGCTCTAGACACCCGACCCGACCCCTCCGTCGCAGAGGAGAAGTGGTGCGGAGAGCGGAGAGCAGAGGTGGCGGGGAGGGCAGAGGCGGTGTGCAGCGACCGGTCGCTGCAGAGATGATATCCAGTGCAGCGACCAGTCGCTGCACTGGATATCGTCTCAAGAGACAACACGTCTCAGAGACAACACGTCTCAGAGACGGCCGGCGTATGAGGCCGTCCGCCGCTTCTGGCGGGCAGGAAACGAATCCCCTATCCCCTATGCGCCTGCGCATTCCTTTACCTACAGTAGGATATCCCTATCCCTTGCTTGGGCTGTTTCGTTGTGGAGCGTGCGAATCGATGAACGCCGGTCCTCCCCCTTTTTTCTGCGAGGTCCGTAAAGTTATCATCCATCCCTTCTTTACACGCACTGGGGCATTCGTCTGGTTGTGTACAGCATGTCGGTTGCACACTGTTGTACTTTGTACTGTACATTGTGTCATACAGTATGAGGGAAATCGGGCAAATCGCTTGTTGTGAAGACACTCTTCTGCGAAGCCCCACGCGGCCCTCCCCGTACCGTACATTACAGTATCGGTGGGTAGAGTACCCTTGGTACAGTATGAGCGAAAAACAACGTTGAGCTCGGCCTGTCGCACAATAATTACCATTTTAATTGGTTGCTTTCATCCATAATTTCATAATTACCATTCAGCGTATGACGGCTCCGCCAAGAAGCGCGCACCACATTCTCGGCTGAAAGCCTCTGCACTGTGGCTGACAGACACGTCAAGTGGGGGTGACCAGTGTGAAACAATTAATGTATGATATGGAGGCGCGCATCCATTTGTCTAAATTGCTGGATGCGTTGCGCCACGCAGTCGCCAGGGCAGGTCCTCACATCCCCCGCATCCTGCGCCTGCCTTGTTGTATCCATCGAAGGGTACCGAAGGTACCGAAGGTACAGTACCGTTGGTACCACACGCTTTACAGCACAACGTGCTGCACACCGTTGAGGTTTGCGCACCGTGTCACCGTGTAAGAGAGACATGGTTATGCTGGGACGATTCGGATGGGCTCTGAGTCAGAGCCTCTGACAGGCCGACATAGAGACAGACTGTCCGCAGCCAGTGTACATCCAACATGTTGCAGAGTCTGCAGCATGTTGAATGTGGCTGCACTGCAGACGGCCAGACTCTCTGTACGGGTAACGTGTGAAGTGTGAAGAAGGGAATAATGTTAGATGATGCAGGTCGCGCAGGAAAGGGAGAGCCACGGCGTTCCTCGATTCACACGCCCCGGAACGCCGGAACGAAACAGAGGCCAACGCATGGGCGCCTCTCTCGTTGATCTCAACGAGGGGCAAGAATGAGGCCCGGTGCAATGCAGCGATGCAACCTCTCGTCCTGACAGTAGCATACAGTACCAGTAAGCGCATCACGCCCTGCTGGCACGACCCTCTCCTTACAGTCCCGCCGTCTCCACTCACTCACACTTTGCAGCCCACTGTATCCCTCACGTGTACACGTGTACACCTCCCCTCAATCCCCCGCGTCCGCGACCTTATATGTCATGATGTGTGTAAACCCTGTTTTGCGGTTGTCCCCCCTTTCCCACCGCTCCCTTCCCCTCCCTCTTCCACCTCCCTCCCTTCCGCTCCCCTTTCCCTTCGCGCGCCTCACCATGCGTTTCTCCTCCCTCGTCGGCTCGCTCCTCTCCAACGCCCGCTCGCGCACGGCCGCCCCCTCCTCCACCTCCCACGACTCGCCCCCGCGCACGCGCACGCGCCGCCGCCGCCCGCGCCGCGACCGCTCCCCGCGCCCGGACCGCCCGCCGCCCGACCCGGACCTTCTCTTCGCCCCGGCCGACCTCGACCCGTCCCCGGAGCCGCCCTCGCGCCGCGCGTGGCGCCGCTCGCGCCGCCCGGCCCCGCACCTCCCGCCGCCCGCCGACCCTTTCTCCCAGCGAGCACCCCCGCGCCGCTCCGCCTCCTCGCTGCGCGCACACCCCGACCATCACCCGGCGCACGACGGCCCGCCCAGCCTGCGCAACCTCTTCTTCCGCGCCCCGCCGCGCGACCCGCCCCAGGACCCCCACCGCCGCACCCGCCGCCGCGGCCCCATCCGCATCCGCTCGGACCTCGACCACCTCTACGCCGCCCGCCGCCCGCCCGCCCCGCAACCCTCGCCGCAGAGCGATGACAAGCCGCTGGCCCGCCCCGTCCGCTCGCGCCGCACGCACAGCCTCCTCGCGCCCGTGCCGCAGGATCCCACGAGCCATCGCGAGCCCGTCAGCCTCATCAACGATTTGCTCACCCACCCGCGCCGCCGCGCCAACCCCCCGCCCTTGTTCGCGCGTGACAGCTCCATCCCCGAAGCCCCGTTCCCTCCATCGCATGCCCTGCTCCTCTCGCCCAGCTCCTCCGCATCCTCCCTCGCATCCTCCACCCTCTCGCCGCCCCCATCACCGCCACCACTACCACCACCACCACCTGCGCTGCACATGCACCTCCCGCCGCCCGCTCCCCCCCGCCCGTCCACCGATCAGGCCCCGCTGCTGGCCCCGCTCCTCCCGCCATTCCCGCCAAGCCACCTCCCGCTCGACGCGGACCCTTCCCCGCCCGCCGTGTTGCGGATGTCCGCCGACGCTTCTTACCCGATCCGGCGCAACCCGACGCCGCCATCCAAGTTTGCGCGCAACTTGTCCACGCCGGTTGTGCCCGCCACGCCGTCGATCCCGCGCGTGAGCCCGCGCCCGCGCCGCCGCCCGCCACCGCTTCGCACCCCGACCGACGACGCCACGGGCTTCGCGTGCGGCGCGGGGCTCAACTCTGGCATCATTCGTGTGCCGCTTGGGCGCACGAGCCGCGACTCCATCGAGGAGATGCCCGTGCAGAGCGATTTGCGGAACGCAAGCACGGTTACGTTTGAGAGTTCGGAGAACCGCTCCACGCATAGCCCCAGCCCCGTACTCAGGGCGGAGGCCGTCGCCGACTCGCGTCCGCGCGTGTCGCCGCCACCGCCGCCGCCACCACCCGCCGCCGCCGCCGCCGCGGAAGCCAAGGCGGAGCTCGCCCGATCCGCATTCGCCGACGCCAAAGAGAGCAGCAAGTTTGACATTTGGAGCCCGGAGCCGTCGCAGAACGGGTCATCCGGAAGCTTCGGCTCGCGCTTCTCGCGCAAGTTCACTGAGAAGGAGGAGGACCTGTTCCGGTTCGAGGAGGCGAGCCAGTCGTCGTTTGGGGACCCGGAGAGCAACGCGCGCCGCTCGCGACGGAACGTCATCGTCGCCGCTGCAATGGACCAGCGCAGGATGGCCGAGGTGCAGGAGGATCAGTTTGTGTTTGGCGCGGACGGCTCGTTCAACGACGGCGGCTTCGTCATTTCTAGCAACGGTGTCGTCGAGGCACCGGAGCGGCTTATGCGGAAGACGTCGGACGGCGCTATGGTGGAGGGCGTGCCCACGTCGAGTAACAATGTCATTCTTGTGAAGTCGCTCGACGAGTTTCGCAAGAGCTATACCTTTCGCTCGTCCACTGAAGGCAGTTCCACGCTGGGGCGAGGCTCGGCCGGCCGCGTTTATCTCGCGCATCATTCCCGCACGGGTCGCAAAATCGCCGTCAAGGAGATCAACGTGTACGACGAGGAAAAACGGAAACAGCTACGAAAGGAGCTGCAAACCCTCATCAGCCATCAGAGCCGCTTCCTGGTGCGCTCGTTTGGCGCCTTTTATGACGGCGCTGGCGTCGTGCATGTGGCTCTAGAATTTATGGATCGCGGCTCTCTGGCAGATATCGTGTTGCAACGCGGCCGCATTCCGGAGCCCGTCGTCTGTAAGCTGATGGAACACTGCTTACGAGGTCTTGCGTTTTTGCATGAAAACCATATCCTGCATCGCGATGTGAAGACGGCCAACATCTTATTGTCCAGGAAGCTGTGCAGGGCCAAGCTGAGTGACTTTGGGCTCGCGCGCGATTTAGAGGCGGACAATACCTCCAAGACAGACTCTTTCGTGGGCACAGTGGCCTATATGTCTCCGGAACGGTTGCATGGCAGACGGTACACGTACGCGAGCGATATTTGGTCGCTGGGCATTACGGTCATGGAATGTGTGATGGGCAAGTTTCCGTTTGACACGCCAAAGAGTTATTTCGATATCGTGGATGCGGCGCAATCTGATCCTGCAGTGCTGGTGCAAAACGAGGAGATCTCAAACGATTGCGTGGATTTCATTCGGCTTTGTTTGCACGCCGACATGCAGGAAAGACCACGGGCAAGGGACTTGCTGCAACACGAATGGATCAGATCGCGAAAGGATGACGCCAATGTGTTGAGAGAATGGCTGGATACGATTCCGAGGCTGCACTGTGAGGATGTGAAAGTTGGATCGGAATTGGCTTTCAATGCTATGGAAAAGCAACGGGCGAGACTGAGAGCAAAGGCAGACTTTCTGTGAGGATCAGGAGTTGTATGACGTCTTGTCGTTTAGCTACGGCAACGTAACGCGACCGTTATATTTGCGGTTGCGCTTCTTGATCTCTAAGGCTCCTTATTTTAGGCAATGGTAGTTGCGCTACACATTTCCCCGGGGCTGGCGTTTCGCAGAAATGTGACCGGCTTTTTGTAGCTGAAAAGGCTGAAAAAGGGGATGCAAAAAGAGAGTGGTTGTCGCCGTTGTCAATTGGTCTCACCATACCCACTGCGCACAATCCACCACCCAACTGAGTCGTAAGTTATCTTATGTATCGTCGAGGTCGTCATTCTTTGGCACACGCGCCACTCAAAAATGCGGCCACTGCATTTGTAAAACACAGCAATTGCACCGCTTCCTCACCGAAAAGCCTAAAAGTGTGGAAGCAAGAAAAACGAGCGATATAAGACTTGTATCTTAATAGCCGCGGGCGGTCGGCAGTATGAACCCGCTTTGCAGACGCATCGCTCTCTCTTAACTATGATATAGTCGCCTGGGCACCCTCGCGGCCCTCCAATAAATTCAAAACCATGTCCCCCTCCTTCCCGGCCTGGCGCTCCACCTCCTGCGCAATCTCCTCCCACGTTTTCAACGGCTCATCCCTCACGGCCTCTCCCCCTGCCACCTTCGCCGCAGACACGAGCCGGTCCGCCAACGACAGCGCATAGTAGTGATTCTCCGCCCTCGACGGGAATCTATTGACCGAAAACTGCACCTCCCCCTCCTTAACCCGCTTTCCCGCCAAATACCTCAGCGCCTCCTCCGCCGGCCTCCCCAGCCCCAGGTCCGCAACATGCATCTTCACACCGACCTTCTTCGCAATCGGCATCGCCGGCATAGAGTCCGACGATGAAAAATACACCTCATTGATCGCCATCCTGCACGCGCGGAGCACCTCGATGGTGTGTGGCGAGATCGCTGGTAGCACGTCCGCCTTTCCCAGCGCCGGCCCCGCCACCGCCTCTGCCGCCGCCTCCATCACCCGCGAGATTGCCTCGCCCGCCAGCTCGGGCGTCACGCGCTCCCCCAAGTCCTCGAGCCGCTCTAGCTGCGCGCGCGCGTCGGCCGCCTCCTCCGCCAACAGCTTTTCCGCGGCGCTCGCGCCCACGGCGGGGTCGTCAGAGTCGAAGCTGAACTCGTCCTCCTCGTTGCCGCTGCCGCCGCCCGGAGGCTGCGACGACAGCGCGCGCGTGCCCGTGCGCCACACAGCGCCCGGGTGGCGCGAGCGCATACGCGCCAGGCCGTGGTAGATGCGTGTGCACGACGTGAGATGCATCGGGGTGGGATGCCGGGGGCTGAGAGGGATCGGGGGGGAAGGGGAGAATACAGAAAAGGAAAGAAAAGAAGAGAAGAGGAGAAGAGAAGAGAAGGGAAGAGAAGAAGAGAAGGGTTACCCTGAAGGGTACTTGCTCTAGAGGAACGGACACAATTGGGATTCTTCCGATCCCCGGCGACAACGTGTACACGTGGTTCAACGTGGACGATTACCAGTTCGTGTTGAAGGGCGGATCTACTGTACATACTGTACGTGCTGGTCTCCCAATCAGAAGCGGCTAATTATTGAGAATGTTAAATATTTGGTATTTTTTGTTCAATTAATTGTCAGTGTGATGCGAGGTTTGCTCGTCTGGTACGATACGACTCGTGCGCAGTCTGAACCGGCCCGCCTCCCCCTGTCCTCGTCCGGCCCGTCTTGCCAACGCTTCTGAATCTGGTTACATTCTGCCACCAGGCGCGTGCGGGCAATCATTGCTTGGCCGTCCCTGTGTTGGGGTCTCTCGGCGACCTGCGCCGTCTCTGCCGGGTTGGCGGCAATGAAGGGCTTGAGGGTGTGTCTTAACAGGCTGGTTCTTGCTTGCCTTGCCCGGTTTTGCCAGGAATACTTATAAATTCTTAACAAATACCGTATGCTTCTTCAGCCGTTGCTTTTCTTAAACTCAAAAATTAAAACGTAAGAGCCAATCATAGCACGCCAAATCACCTCTCTGGGCAAAGCAAAGCAAACTGCAGAAAAACGGGGCATGTTAAGACACACCCTGAGACAGTCGCCCGTCACTTTGCATGTGGGCGAGCTTTCTATCTTGTCCATCAAAGCTCGCAGACCGGTTCTCGGCGAGAACCGGCGAGAACTTCTCGCCGCGACGGTGTCCAACAAGTCCACCTGCCCACTCGGCGGATGACTCGACTTGGGGGGGACCTTCAGGCGGGGTACGTGCCCTCCGCGAGGGTACTGTAAACTTTACTCGTATCGTCCTACGGCTTTCGTTGCAGTACTGTACTGTAATACCGATGGACGGGACAAGCCCCTGGAGACTCCAGGCTGGAGTACAGCACCGTATTATACGCCTCCCTGGAGTCCCTTGCAGCCCTCGTTGCTGGCGTAAAATTCTTGTCAGTGCGTCGCGAGAGCAGCCTTACTAAACGCACGATGTGCCAACACCGCAGCAACAATCCGCACAACCGCCGCCCTGTTTTTTCAGCGTAGGAAATCACTCAAAATCACTGTCAAGCGGGCACCTACCCTAAAATAGCTGTGGGCCATTGGATGTCCTGCATTGATTCGAATGCGAATGGTGGAAGCAAACCTTTCCCGCCCTCTCTGCGAGAAGACCAAGAACGAAAAACGACTACCCTTGGGTAACGACTGACAACGACAAGAGAGAAAAAAGAGATTCCGAGAGAGAGAGATATAGAAAAGAATAAGCGCCGCTTTGCCACCGCCACCTACTCGAATCCGGACAACACCCCCTATTCGCAAACACCATGGCTGATCCATACAGTATCTTGGGCCTCACCGGCCCGGCTGAGCAAGTCGTCCGCCTCATCGCAAGTCTCATCGAACGACACAAAGCCTACAAGGAAAACAAAAAGCTCTCTACCGAAATGCTCACCGCGTATACCACCTTGCAGGCAGACATCACGGAGCTGAAAAACATGCCGATCCATGGAACGTCGTCGCAGCACACGGGCTTGCTCCAACGTGAAATCGAGGGCCTCTCAAGCTTCATATTGAAGTCCCTCGAAGAGCTACAGAAAGAGTCGAAAGACCCAAATGCGAAACTCGCTGCGTACGCCTATGCAATGGGAGATAGAGAAGTCCTAGAGACGCGCAAGCAAGAAGCGTGCCGCCTTCACGATCGCCTTCTCAATGCAAGCACGGGCATCGATACTCGCGCGGCGGTCAAGCAAGAAGCGGACCGCCTTCACAATTGTATTCAACAAGTAAGCGCGGCCGTCGAGTCGACCAGGGGAGGTACGGGTGATACCTTCAGGGCGTCGATAAGAGCCGAACATAATCCTGCGTCGATATATGTGAAGCTTGATTCTCGGGGGAGCGATGGATTACCAAACACGTGTGAGTCGCGTCTAAAAGCGGCTGTGCTTCGGAGAGATAGGAACAAGCAAGTGGGTGCGACAGCAGTGGGACAGGGCGGAGTCGGGAAGACATGTGCCCTTCGAGCGATCGCACACGACGATGAGATTAAGGCGGAATTTTCGGGAGGAGTGTACTTCATGTCGTTGGGGAAAGACGGAAACGTGGGACGGCTGATTGAAGAACTGTGTCTGAGTGTGGAAGCGTCCGGCGGGAACCAGACGGCTGTGGAAATGCGAGGGCAGAGCGAGTTTGAAAGGGTGTTAGCGAAGGTACAAGCGTGGTTTTGTAGTCATGTGTGTCTGTTTATCATTGATGATGTGTGGGTGGTGAATGATATAGATGCGAATATCCTTCAAAAGTTGTCTGTTCTGGCTGAGACTGCGGGGAGCAGCGGGGGAAAGACGAGCAGACTACTGTACTCCACGAGGGATAAGGAGCTGCGTCAGATTGGGGAGCGGGTTGCTTTCGAGCCGAGGGAGAAAGTAGGGAAAGAAGCAGTTGAGATGCTTGTGCACGCGAGTGAGGCGAATCGAGAGGAGGTGGATGATGCGAGATGCAAGGAAGCCGTGAGTGAAATACTGAAAATGTGTGGCGGATTGCCGCTTGCGCTGAACGTGGCGGGAACGAGCGTGAGGTACATGAGGGAAAGATGGGAGGGAGAAGTATCAGAAGCATGGGGGGCGTACCTTTCGAGGATGGAGAGTCGTAACACGATTCGCGGTGAGAGTCCGAAGGACGGATATTCGTCGTTGGATGGGACGTTGCATACGTCACTGGATATCCTGGAGTCGGATGTGGGAAGGAGTGGGGAGACGGTTGATGAATTTTCGTTTCGAAAGATGCACCGGAGTCTGTGCGTTATGAAGAAGCAAGACCGGATACCTTTGAGTTTGGTTGGAGATTTGTGGGAGATGGACGAGGAGCGGACGGAAAGGTGTGCAAAGGAGATGGAAAGGGTTGGACTAGTGGAAGTGCAGTATGAGAAGGATTGTGGTGGGTTGCGGGTGCATGATCTGACGCACGATTTCGCGGTGGATGAAGCGAAGAAGAAGGAGGGTGTAGAAGAGTGGTATAAGAAGATGGCGGATGTGTGCAGGGCAGGAGAAGGGTTGCTTGCGATGAGTGAGGACCGAGACGGAGAGGGGAAGAGCGCACGGGAGGAGTATGTTTTCGAGAATATATATCGTTTTTTGAAACAGGGTGGGTGTGTAGAGGAGCTGAAGAGGCTATTTTTGAGTGCGCGATGGGTGAAGACAGTGATACGGAGAGGCGGGGTTTGGCAATACGAGGAAGCTGTGAAGGGATTGAGTAGAGACTTGAAGGGGAAAAGAGGAAGCGGGAAGGTGGGAATGGGACGGGGAGATGAGGATGCAGTGGATGGAATGGTTTTGATGATGCGGGCGGCGCGACTGAGTGTACCGTTTTGTGGTGAAAACAGTGCCGGGATTTACTTTCAACTATATGGGCGAGTGAAGCACAAGGCACGGGATTCAAGTTGTGTGCGAAAAATGCTGGAGGAAATTGAGAGATACGCACCACGGCCGTGGGTGCGGCCTGTGAGTGAGTGTGTAGCGCGAGCCGATGGAAAGATGGTGGAGCAGATTGTTCTGCCATATGCCAGTCCTGAAATTCAAGTGGGCATGGATTCCAGTGGTGAAGTGTATGGATGTGAAGTGGAGGAGTCCGGGGCAAAAGTAACAGTTTTCACGCAATCTGCTGAGAAGGAGACGAAGATAGTTGAATTGGAAGGCGAGTTCGAAACGGAGAGCCAGGGCCCAGGGGCCAGTGAAACAAGCAGTCAATTAGAAGGCGAGTTCGAAACGGAAAGCCAGGGCCCAGGGGATCTTGAAGCAGGCAGGCGCAAAATGTGTCGGCGTTTGAGGGCATATTTTGGAATGTGCCTTGGAAGTTTAACCTCCGAAGTGACTGGAGAAAACCCGAGCGTGACTGCAGAAAACCCGAGCGTGACTGCAGAAAGCCCGAGCGTGACAATAGCCACCTGCGCGACTCTCTGTGAGAGGAAGGAGAATGTTGTTGTGGGATATGAAGACGGGACGTTGAGGCTGTGGAGTACGTCGGAGAGGAAAGTATTGAGAATTTTCCGCGGTCACAAGTCGAAAGTGGTTTGCGTTGCGATGAGTGGGGACGGAAGACGTGTGGTATCTGGATCCCGGGACAAGAGCGTGCGGGTGTGGGACGTAGAGACGGGAGCACAAGTCGGGGAGGCGTTAGTTGGACACACGGGTGGAGTGGCTAGCGTTGCGATGAGTGGGGACGGAAGACGTGTGGTATCTGGATCGTTTGACAAGAGCGTGCGGGTGTGGGACGTGGAGACGGGAGCACAAGTCGGGGAGGCGTTAGTTGGACACACGGATTTGGTGGTTAGCGTTGCGATGAGTGGGGACGGAAGACGTGTGGTATCTGGATCGGATGACAAGAGCGTGCGGGTGTGGGACGTAGAGACGGGAGCACAAGTCGGGGAGGCGTTAGTTGGACACACGGATTTGGTGGTTAGCGTTGCGATGAGTGGGGACGGAAGACGTGTGGTATCTGGATCGGATGACAAGAGCGTGCGGGTGTGGGACGTACAGACGGGAGCACAAGTCGGGGAGGCGTTAGTTGGACACACGGCGTTCGTGGTTAGCGTTGCGATGAGTGGGGACGGAAGACGTGTGGTATCTGGATCGTTTGACAAGAGCGTGCGGGTGTGGGACGTGGAGACGGGAGCACAAGTCGGGGACGCATTAGTTGGACACACGGCGTTCGTGGTTAGCGTTGCGATGAGTGGGGACGGAAGACGTGTGGTATCTGGATCGTGGGACGAGAGCGTGCGGGTGTGGGACGTGGAGACGGGAGCACAAGTCGGGGACGCATTAGTTGGACACACGGCGTTCGTGGTTAGCGTTGCGATGAGTGTGGACGGAAGACGTGTGGTATCTGGATCGGATGACGGAAGGGTGCGGGTGTGGGACGTGGAGAGAGGGATCACACTTCATACCGGAAGGCAAGAGGATTTGGAAGAAATCGTGGCTCGGTTCCTGAACATGGCAGACTTGGGTACTGCTTCTCGCGCAGGACGAAGATCAGAAATATTTTCAAGGGGCGGAGGAATTGTGCAAAGGCGAGAGGATGGGTCCGAGACCGTCTTGGCCCAGTTAGACGATCCACGAGACTTGCAGATAGACCACGATCACGGGGTCGCAGTTGCAAGGGCGGGCCATCTGGTTGCTATCATGAAGCTAGTGGTGTAAGCTAGTGGTGTAAGTAAGTATCGAAGTGCGATGGCCGCTTGCCGCCCGTGACAGTAGTAGTGCGTTGAGGGTTTTTTTTTTGTTTTTGATTTATGAATGCGTGAGAAGCTCGCCTCACGGACGTTGCAATCCATGTACGTGTATGTATGTGTATGTATGAACTAGCGACCTGCTTCCGTTCATCGTGCGCTCTTGTGCTCAAAAGTTATAAAGGTATTCGTGAATGAACGGTGTGTTAAGAAGCGTTGCAGACCGGGTCAAAGCGGGGGCCAATCTCACTTTGAAGAGGCGATGGGTACACGTGCACAGGTTTCCACGTGCACAGGTTTCCACGTGCACAGGTCCACACGTGTGAGAAGACAAGTGGCAAACGAGGCCAACTTTTTCCCTCAATTTTACCATAAATTTCAACTTTACTAAACATTTGGGCCTCTCCCTTTACGGAGCGTCAGCGACGTCACTCAGTCCAATTACGAACACCGTCCTTGCAAGGGGCATCGGTTACTGTGAGAGAAAAGCACTGGGCAGAAGGGAAAGTGTCCTGGCCGGCACAGGTAACACAAGCGGCCTCCAGTGACAGACCGACCGCGATAAGCTGTCTGATCACAACCAGCAGCGAGACGCCAGCAGCGAGACGGATAAGTAGGAGCGAGAGTAGAGACGACGAAAGATGTTCTATGAGTTTGTCTAGCCTGCGCCCCGCCGCCGCCACACTCTGCCAGCGGCGAGAACAGTGCGCCCCAGCTCCCCATCCCGCTGCTGCTGCAAGCCGGGTCGCGGTGGGGAAGCGTCCGCCACGCGACTAGAACGCGGCGGGGGCACGAGCGCTGTCCATACGTGCGGCGGCGACGGGCGCGCGCACGCGCAAGGGAGAGCGGGGGAAGGGGGAGGGAGGCACAGCGCGTCGGGGTGAGGGCGCGCAACGGCGGCGGCGACGCTTATGCGGACGCGCGCGCTTCGAAAGGGATGCGCGCATTGCTGCGCACGAGCGGGAAGCAGAGCGGCATAGTGCTTGCGCTGCGAGTTGCTCGTGGTTTGAACGGGAAGCGTTTGCGGGCGGAGCTGCAGCCATGCTACGTGCGGCGTAGAAGACGCACGGCGGCGCGATTTGCGCTAACCCGCCGGCACGGGCCATCCGCCCGCACCTCAGCGACTGCGACCGGCCGCGCCCCGCGTGGGGCGCGGCGAAATAAGCACGTGGAGAGAGGGCGCAGTTACGCCCAGCGGACGGCGGACGGCGGACGGCGGCCCGGGTAAGCTAAAATGCGGCTTGAATCTGCAGCAGTCGCGCAACAGGTGGCCGCGCGCCCGTTTTGATCGCGCGCCCCCGCCGGGCGGCCGCGTACCCGGCGCGCCGTCTTCTCGTCTGGTGGCCGAGAGGCTTGATGGGGGCGATGCCTTCCAGGCAGGCCGTCACTTTACTCGGCGGCGAAACGCACGGTAACGGGGCACGGTAACGGGGCCATGCTCCCCACCCGCAGCGACTCTCACTCCACGTTGAGGCTTGCAACACGTGGTCATTGCGGGCGAGGGAAGGAAGCTCATTTCTTCAGGCACAACATCAGTGTCGTCGGAATATGGCGGAAGCAAGCGACGCTCGCACTTGATCGACTACTCGGCGGGAGGCACAACTGTGCTGGAAGGGGATCATCGTTGCGGAATAGTAATTCAACTATTTTGGCAACGCACTGCTTCCCCTTTTTGCCGCACTTTTCCGAAACCGAGTCACCCAGATGCGCGCCCGCCACTTGCTAACCTTGGTAGCTCTGTGACTGATTACAACCTGTCCGCCTTTTCTGTTTTTACCGCCATTCGAAAGCCCATTACTTTCGCGTGTCCGCCAAAAATCCAGGCTGTGCCGTGCCATTACAACTTAATATGCTTTTCCATATCGATCGATAGCCGCCCATCATCGCCATTCCGGAGAAGTGCGTTGCCAAAATAGTTTATGTTTGCCAAAATAGTTAACGGACATTATTTGACTGTTAGAATAAAGAGTTTTTTTCGGGCCACGGCCATTACAGTATTTGAGGTTGCCAAATTAGTTTCCATGCGATTCAGACCTGTAAAAGGGGTTCATTTAAGGGACTTCATTCCCTTGAATGAACACATGATGTGATTTCGTCACAGTTGTAAAGCTACAGTACTGTATATGCGCGCTTTATGTGTTTATTGAGCTTTAAAAAGTCAAAATCGGTGAAGGACTGGGTACGATACCGCCTTTTCATCAGACATGCCTAGAAAAAAACGGTCACTTGCCACATTTTATCATGAACTGTTACTGCACACACCGTGTAGTACACGGACGGTCGTGGCACACTGCACACACCGTGTACTGAGTACACGGTGTATGCAATACGCCACGACGCAACGAAAACCCCAGCCAGTGCACCCCCGACTACCTTTCTGAAACAGCACCACCCACAAAACATTGCGTCGTACGGAATTACCTCTCATCTAACCTCTTTCATCCGTATTCATACAAACGGCTGCACCCACGGTAGTACAAGTACCCTCGATCGAGCCCTCTTCCGTCGTCGAGTCATCATCACCTTCCCTCCTCTTTGCTTTGTTCACCCTCTCCGCCTCCTGCGGGTCAAGCACCATTTCTAAAAAGATTACGAAGCACGCCACGAAAGCCAGTATGAAGAAAACCTGCAGCTTGGTCAGCGTCAGGCTCAAATGGCTGTCCTTTGGACACTGCCCGTTCGACTTGACATAATTCTCTGGCCTTGGGAGCAACCCCGATCGCTGCATGTCCAGCGTTGCGTTGCTCATCACTTCCGTGTACTTGGAGCCACGCGGAAGAAGGAACGACAGTCCACCCAGGAAGCAGGGCTCGCCCGATGACACTATCTTCTGGCAGTACTTTCCGTGGGCAAGACTCATGCCCGTGGCAGTGAGACCGATCATAAATTTACACTTTTTCTCGTACAACTTCTTGGCGCCTTCTTCGTCCGATGAAATCAGCACCGGACTTTGACCCTTGTGACAGGGACTGGCAAAGGGAATGGGAAGCGTAGTTGTTAGCAACCACTATTTCAGAGAAACACGGAGTTAACGAAGTAGGCGTGACGTACTCTGTAGCAATAGCGTGATCCCAGAACACTTCTATGGCTCCTCCTTCTGTTACGCACACTTCATGCGGGGGTATATGGCACTTCTTCAGGTCTTCAATATTGCGGTAGTCAGAAACGAGGGTGTCCTGTACAAGTACCGCACTGTTAAAAACGTGGGAAGGCGTTAATTTCTTTCCGTGAGATCCTCGCTGAGAGTTTGAGTCTGCTGGTGTCTGAAGACAAAACAACTTACGTCATTGCCGATTCGTATGTCAAAATCAGGAAAAGGCTGCATAGAGCAATGAGCAGGTTGAGAACCCATTGTCTCGAGCTCGTCTTGCCATCGATGGGATCGTAGCCACCTTGACCGACCATACGACTCACTAATGGAGATGGTTCGCGATAAGTAGGAAAGTGATAGAAAACTAAGTCAGAAGCAAAAGAAAGAATTTGAATGGAGCCAAACTTCTTGCGACAAAGACTTACGTGTGCTTTGCAGTGCCTTTCGCAATCGATATGGTATGCGACTCTTCAACAAATAATGCTTCACCCTGCGCACCCGAGAAGATGTTCTCGGCAGCGGCTGGTAAGATTCATCCGGAGGTACGAAGCGCCTGTCAAGCATTTTGAGAAACGTAAACACACAAACGAGCCCCAAAATGAAAACCCACACAGTGGTAGAGAAAGCAGTGATGAAGAAGGCGCCCGCAGATGCCGAGGAAGTGTTATCCGTGTGCACAATGATGCTCAGGCCGTCGATAGCGAACGGCGGCAGAAAATCCACTCGCCCGAAGCGTTCAGGATTCCGAAACCAGCCGCCGACAGCCATTTCGCACTGGCATTTTGGGTCTTGTCGAATATTGCCATCCTTTGTGGTGCACTCGTCTATGTTTTTGACGATAGCGTTGAATCGCACCCTGTCCTCGTTTCTCAACTCTTTGAGAGACTCGCATCGAAATCCAAGCCTTTCTTGCAGCTGTTCGAGGTATCGAATGGCCAGCCCGTCGTATCCATGAATCTGAAAGCAACACAAGATGTGAAGGTTAGCTGTGCAAGCGTTTCTGTCGCAGATTAGAATGAACATGGTTCCTACCTTAGCTTTGTTCGTTACGATTATTGGACTCTCCATGGCGGTGCAGCAGCGAAGATTGACCCCATCGAGATCGCGCTTCATGGCCTCAGTCGCGCAGAGGAACAGGCCGAGTACTGCTGTGATGTTGGCCATGGATTTCCGAAACATTGTCTTGGAAAACGGTTTCGACATAGAAGGGTTTCATCGCACACATTCAATTGCTAAGTGCCATGGTAGTGCCAGATGACGCATGCCAAAGAGCTATATACGTAGTGCCAAGTTTCAGGAAAGATTGAAGAATGGCCTCCATTCTCCCTGGGGTAAACACATTAGTTGGAGCTTGCTTCTTGACGGGGGCTTCCTCACAACAACGCAAGGTTCCATTAATCGTAGGAGGAGCCAGTTTCCGCGAGGCGTGGCGTTTGACTTGTGTCAAGCATTATGTCCCCTCGAAGAGGCGCGGCGGTTTGACTGGTGTCAAGGATTTACTTTGTCCCCCCTAAGAAGTGTCTTTGAACGCAAAACTAGTTTTCCATGCTCGGCGGTTGCGATGTATATCAGGTGACGTCAGGTGACGTGAGCATGCGTGCCGGTGAGCAAGAGATGGAGCAGAGAGCTTTTTCGTTGAAACAGAATGCGTCACCGAGCTGCACTAAGGGGTGGACACTATTGTCAAGGCACGCTCACCACGCTACCGCACCATTTCATCATTGCAGCACATCGCCCTGCTGGACCTTTGTCACCACACTACAAGAAAGAAGCTGTATGAACAGCATGAACACAGAGTACTTGAATACATGTTAACAATCGGTTTTAAAAAAGCGATTGTTCTGTAAAACTGCGGATTGGGGAACGGACCACTTGTGGATGTGTACGTCCGCGACATAGGATGACGTATGCGCGAGAACAACAATACAGCCTCGGGGCGAGATGGCGTCTGCTCATGCGCAGTTGACGGTGGCTCTTGACCTGGCTATGTGAGCATTGTCTCTGTAAAGTGTTCGGTCTGGAAACATCGCTAATGGCCAATAGGGCACGGGCAAATGGGCCCCAAGCGTATCATAATGCAAGTGGAAAAGGTTCAAGCCGAGGGTAGG